TTCCAGTCCTATAATCTATGATATGATTCTATGACTCTTGGCCGGAGCCGGGGCACTGGGCCAGAGCCGCTCGGCTGGAGCAGGACTGGGCTGGGCTGCGCCATGCCTCTCTGGAGCCCTCCTCGCACCCCCCACCCCAGCTTATCTTGCGAAGCCGCCGCTTGTTTCTGAACCCTCCCAGGCTTCCCGCGCGAACATCTGATTCGTGGGAAGCAGGGGAGGGGGAGGAGAAGGGGGGCAGAGCGTTCAGGGGAGGAGCCGAGGAAGCAGAGGTGAGCTGGGGCCAGTTGTTAAATTTAAAAGCCCTTTTAGAACCAGTTGTCCCACGCGGAACAACCGGTTCTAAAAGAGCTTCTAAATTTAACAACCGGTTCCTGCGAACCGGTGTGAACCGGCTCCAGCTCACCATTGCCTGTGAATCTATGGTTGCACCTGCTCACTTGGAGGTTACTAAGAGGCCTGGCTGAAAAATTTGGCCTTTAATATGTAATGTGCTGACTCTCTCTCTTAGCATGGCTGTTAGAAGTTTCCAACATATATTGCAATAGATGAGTAAGTTTTGTCAAAGGTTTTACAAATGACCTTTAATTATTAGTAGCAATCATGTTCACGCATTCTGCTGATTGTTAAACCAGTTGTAGAGTAAGATAAGTGTTAATTTATAATTCCTTTTCTACTTCACTGTGAAATACAATTTCTAGTTCATACTGCAGGTGGCATTGTGTAAAAGGAGGCAGGTTTTTTAAATGTGTGCAGTGAACAAGTTGTCACTAACTTGCCAACTTGGAAAATGAAATGTATAGAGCCTTGGCAAACCAAGTTGAGTTCAGCCTGAATAACATTGCTACTGTAGCAACATATGTCATTACAAGAGCTTCAGAAATGGACTTCCATGACCCTTAAACTTGTTAGAATGTCAGATCACTTGTGTTCTCTGAGGGAGAGGTAATATTTTCATGAATAATTCAGTCTTCCTCATTTGCCAGTTCAGAGATGTCTGGTTGCAATCTCTAGTTATCATTCTAATTTAAGTATCAGGGGGTAGCCGTGTTAGTCTGTATCTACAAAAACAACAAGGAGTCTGGTGGCACCTTAAAGACTAACAGATTTATTTGGGCATAAGCTTTTGTGGGTAAAAACCTCACTTCTTAAGTGACATTCTAATTTAAGCCTCTTGCTGGGAACTTTAAACATATTTATTCCCAATTAAAAATAATTATACAGCTTTACAGAGAGCTTAAACTAACTGTGTCTTTTGTTTCCTTCCTTGAAGAGCATATGGGTTAGTACCTATGTATTTACAGTATGCTTTGCTGCTAACGTGGGACTATTGTATGGAGTTGTCTGCACTATAGTTATAGTGATTTTCCGCTTCCAAAGGTGAGACATCATTTGTTCTTGAAATGTTCTAGAAATAAATCATTGTGACATATATTGCTCCACTCTCAGTATAGATGTACAATACACTGGGTTAAATAATGAAATCTCATTTTTTGTAACTAATTGTACATATAAGGACACTAAAAATCAGTGATTATTTGTATAATGCCCTAACTACTAAGTGCAATAATGGCTTTGAAATGCACTGCGTAGCGTGTCTTAATGCTCTTATAAAAAGGAATTTACACTTACAAATAAAAATAAAACCGGTCAGACCGGTGCATTTACTGGACATTAAAGAATTCTAAAACAGTTTCATAAAGTGAAATTATTTTATGATTTTTTTAAATAATTACAAATCTCTAGGACACATAAATCAAAGCTAGGGTAAGATCAATAATAAGGTCAATACAAATTTCCTTCCATTAGAGCCTTTTTTTGCTCATTGAAAAGTGCAGGATATCTGGCAAGCCTTAGTTACTGAGTGTCATTATAAACTGTACTGAAGGAGCCGCCAGCTGACATTCTACACATTTTAAAATGTTGTAATAAAAACCAATAGGAAAACCGTTCCAGTGTTTAAAGAAAAAAACCCCACACTGTAAATTCTGTGTACAAGTTCCAAAAAACAAACAAAGAAAAAAACTACAAATAGCATTTCTTAATATGCATTATTTTCACAGTACAACTAAATAACTATGCTTAGGTTTTGAATAAAGGAAAATATTCTTTGAGGTTAGTGATCCTCCCAGTGCTGGTAAACCAATGATCTTGTAAGTTACCTACCCCATGCGACTGGTTGCTCATGGTTTCCATATGTTGAGACAACTATTGAAATATTTGTATTTTGTCACACAAAGATGTCTCAGTTTTGCAGATAGCAAGTGAATGCCATTTATACCCACATCTCTGTAGTAACTTTAATTTTCCAGGCCAATATTTTTTTCTCTTCCTCGTGTTCATATTTTGCAGGTAAATGTAGGCTAACTAAATCCAGTGATGAGTAGTAAACCATCACTTTTTCTTTTCAAGAATGTGGACATACATTACACAACCCGTTGAGGGCTATGCCTACAATGTGAGTTAGGGATGTGACTCCTCTATGTGTGTACACATCCTTGCGCTAGCTCTTAGTGAGCTAGCATGAGTTAGGGATATAAAACAGTTAACCAGGGCTGGCTTTAGGCCAATTCAACCAGTTCCCCTGAATCGGGCCCCGCGCCTAAGAGGTCCCCGTGCCCAAGCCCTGGTACAGCGTACCAGCAAGAGCCGGTGCGCCGTACCGGGGTGGCCCGGCTTCCCCAGGGGGCAATTCCCAGGCCCTTTAAATTGCCACCAGAGCCCCACTGCTGGAGCCCTGGGGTAGGGCTGCGGGGCTCTGGGGGCTATTTAAAAAGTCCGGGGCTCCCGCTGCCTCTACCGCCCCGGCCCTTTAAATAGCTGCCGGAGTCCCGCCGCTTCCCCAGGGCTCCTGCGCCTATTTAAAGGGCCAGGGCGGTAGAAGCAGGGGAGCCCCGGGCCCTTTAAATAGCCCCGAGAGCCCTGGGATAGCGGGGGGCTCAGAGGCTATTTAAAGGCTGTGGCTCCAGCTGCCTCTGCTGCATCCCCTGCCCGCACCAGCCCTGCACCCCCTGCCCTGCCCGCAGCCAGCCCCTATCTCCAGCCAGCCCTGCACCCCCTGC